TCTCTCAGCCAGCGCCGCTTCCAATAAACCCCTGGTTCCAAAAGGAATCAAATATCCCGCGGCCCTCCGCCGACCCAAAAAAACAGACAGACCCTGTAGTAGAGTCTCTCAACCTAGTGTATAACACTCTCAATAGGATCAACTTAGATGAAATCCTTATCCTTGCGGGTAAAATGAGCACAGCTCAGTCCCCTCAGGACCGTCTCCTTGCTCTTACTGAGCACATCAACCTTCTAAGGTCCTTGTAATTAAACTATGCCGGAGCCCTCTGCTCCCGCAATATCTCACGGTCGTATCAAACCAAAGGGTTTGTCGCTTGTTTCATTCAATATCCGCGGTCTGCGAAATAACCTCCCAGAGCTTAGGCTTTTTCTACGAGATCGCGAAGCCGATCTCTTACTCCTACAGGAGACCCATCTCAGCCTCAAGGTATCTAAAGGCATTACTATTAAAAATTATTCACTTCTACGTAACGATAGACCCGACCGCAAAGGCGGCGGTACTGCCATCTATCACAAAAAGTCCCTTCATTGCTCTCACATATCTACTCCGTCGCTTACCAGTATGGAAGCCACTATCACTAGACTAGCTATGACTGGACACCAGTCAATCATTATAGCCTCTTGCTATATACCTAGCGGAACCCTCCCCGTCAAGAGTGATTTCGAAGCCATCCTTGCATTAGGCAACTCAGTCATTATGTTTGGAGACTTTAACTCCAAGCATACTGAATGGGCCTGCCGCACTACTACCAGTAGTGGCAGGGTGCTGCTCAATATCACTCAGTCTCTCGACCTGACTGTCTACAGCCCCCTCACTGCCACCCACTATCCCGACATTGTTACCTACGCTCCCGATGTGCTAGATTTTGCTCTAGTTAAAGGAGTTTCAGTTTTATTTAACAATAAATATTTGTTCTTATTCAATATTCTTATATTTTTTTTAGTTTTCCGACAAACCCAGAAGCTAAGGAAAAAATGGATTTTGGCAACAGGGAAAAAAAATTGGTTTCCTTCTAAACATAGCAAAATATGTTCAGCACATTTTCAAGAAAAGGATTTTAATCCTACAAGAAAACGCCGTGTTATTTTGGATCATGCTTATCCGACTATTCACGTTTGGACAACTTCTGAAAATGTAAGTATCTTTTAAATAAATGAAGTATTTTAGTAAAATACACACCATCCCGTGGCTCTATTATGCAAAACAGTAAAGAAATTATGTGGCGCCACTAGTGCATTTTTGTTACTTTATAATTCGGAAACGAAACGTTTTACATTTTGTGTAATTATACTGAAATTAAGTCAGTCTTGCTGTCGCACGGATGGGCCGGCTTGAACCGGGGTGGTACCACGACCTCACAGAAAACCAGCGTGAAGTAGCGGTTTACCTCTGCGTTTCGCTTGGTGAGTGCAGGTGGCCGGACGCCCTTTTTACTGGTAATGAGGCATTACATCTTAGTTCTCACGGGTGACAACGCATCTACATTTTGATTTGTAATAGAGGATAGATGTAGAGCTATTAGTAACTTAATAGTTACTTTTTGCATGGTAACTATTAAGTTACCAAACATGTTATTTCAGGTATCAGATATCCAAGTTAACGTAACACCATCAAAATCTCCGTCACCTTCTATGTCATCTAAATCTATTAAGCGAGCGATACAGTTAGATCCGGACATAATGGAAACTCCCAGAAAACGAAAAATGCAACGTATTATAAACGAAAAGGAAAATGTTATAAAAACTCAACTCAAAAATAAAATGTTTACAAGGTAAAAACCGGAGATATAGAAAAAAAATTATAGAGTTGCAAGAAATAATAAAGGAATTACAATCAAATAGATTAATTAATAGCGACCAAGTCTTTTTTTTTAGAAAACACCAACGTTAACACAAAAGAGTTACTTAAAAGATGTGAGAAGAAATTAAAATCTAAAACTTTAACACGTGAAAAATACTCACCGAGCCTTCGGAGTTTTGCGATGACGCTACGTTTTTATTCGCCGAAGGCATACCTTTATGTAAGGTGCAAGTTTGAGACCTGCTTGCCTCATCCCAGGACCATTAAAAAATGGTATCAATCTTTTGACGCAGAACCTGGTTTTACCACAGAGTCCCTTGATGCTATAAAATCTAAAATTCAATCTACACAATATCCAATATTATGTAATTTGGTGTTGGATGAGATGGCGATTCGTCAACGCATCGAATGGGATGGGAAACGTATGCATGGTTATGTCAATTTCGGAAACAATTTAAACGATGATGGGGATAATTTGTGTGAAGCTAAAGAGGCTTTAGTATTCCTTGTTACTGCAATTAATGGGGCATGGAAAATACCTGTCGGATACTTTCTGACAGACGGTGTAACAGGTGAGCAAAAGTCAAACCTAGTGAAACAGTGTCTTCAACTTTTGAGCACAACTGGCGTTGAAGTTGTTTCTCTGACGTTTGACGGTTGTCCTGCTAATCTTACAATGGCAAAAATTCTCGGATGCTCTTTTGACATTAATAATATAAAGACTTGTTTTAGCCATCCCGTTTCACAAAAACCAGTTTACGTTTTGTTGGATGCTTGCCACATGCTAAAACTAGTAAGAAATGCATTCGAATCAAGCGCAACATTAAAAGACAATTTTGGTAGATTAATAAAGGTCGTACCTGGTCCATCTTAACCATCTACAGGAAAAAGAACATTTGCATCTTGCAAATAAGTTAAGACGCCGCCATATTTATTTCTATAACCAAAAAATGAAAGTTAAGCTGGCGACACAACTGATGAGCAGTAGTGTAGCTAGAGCTTTAATTTTTTGTTCCAAAACTAACCAACCGGGGTTCACCGATGTTCACACAGCACACACACACACACGCACAGTAGGCACAGTAGATTTCTCGCAAAATTTTAATGACTTGTTTGATATTTTAAATTCACGAAATATTAATCAGTTAACACTATAAGAAACCCATAAATTTCAAAAACAAGAATAAGGTGTTCATTTTTTTAAACAAAATGGAAGCATATATAAAAAACCTAAAAATGTATAACGAAACGGAAATAATTAAATCACCTAAAAAAACCGGGTTTTTAGGTCTTGTGGTATGCATCAATAGTGTCAAAAGTTTATACCTAAGGCTTATCGAAGAAGAAAAAAATTAAAATATTTGCCCACCTACAAGTTGTCTCAAGATCATCTGGAGTTGTTATTCGGTAATATAAGGGCTCATGGTGGGTGTAACAACAACACGACAGCGCGACATTTCATGGCTATTTATAAAAAACTAATAGTCAAACTAGAATTGAATAATTTTGAAAGTGGTAATTGCATGGCAACTTGAAAATATTTCAATTTTGACTTGTTCTTCATCAGTGGAAAAAATGAATAAATCTACTTATCACCAATGATTGAAGAAGAAATGGAAAATGAAGAATATATTAAAGAATTTGATGAAGTTTTGAAAACGGAAAATATCATGACAGAATTTAGTTTGGAAGTAGTAAGCTACATAGCAGGAAATGTGGTACATTTTTTACTAAACAAAATTAAATGCGAAACTTGCATTTCGGCTCTTTTAAATTCAAGTGCTATTAAAGACAATTTTAAATTGATACGGTTGAAAGACAACGGTGGTCTTATTTTTCCTAGCGCTGACGTAATTTTGATTTGTAAAAAAATTTAATCAATTCTTAAAACTTTTACTGTAGATGCTCAATCAGTCAAAAATTTTGAAAAGTAAGATAACATCCAGAGCCTTACGTCATTTCATTGGCGTTGAAGTATTCAGAGAAATCGATTTTCATCAATAGATTTTTATCAAAAAAAAATCATGGACCAATGGAAAACCATATAATATTGTTAACAAAATGTATTATAGAAAGGTATACAGATATTCGCCTTCACCATTTAATGAAAACCTCAGCACAAAAAGTATCAAAAAGACAACTTTTAAATAAATATTTGCATTTTACAGGACAATAAATAAATAAATATTTTGTTTTTGAAATGATGAAAATGTCTTAATTTTTTTTTCTATTTTTTTTTTTAGAATAGGGTGACAAACGAGCACACAGTCCACCTGATGGTAAGTGGTTGCTGCGGCCCATAGACATCTACATCTATCTTCCATTACAAATCAAAATGCAGATGCGTTGTCACCCGTGAGGACTGAGATGGAATGCCTCATTCCCAGTAAAAAGGGTCTCCGGTTCTCTACACTCACCATACGAAATACAGCAGCATTAAGCTACTATTTCACGCTGGTATTCTGTGAGAGCGTGGTCCTTCCCCGACTCATTCGTGCTACAACTATACTAATATAACTGCAGCATGGCTCTACCACGTAAAAAAATTTTTATTTCTATTTTACTGTGTAAGTTTTACTCCTTGTAATTAATTCATTTTCTACTTTACGTTTTTTTTATAGCATTAAGTACGTTTCATATTATATAATAATAATAATAATAATAATATGGCGTAGGGAAGTGACGACCCCATCGCCCGTTGACGTGACGGTTATGTGACAAAACCGCTACGTCCGCGCAGTCAGTCAGCACCTTGCCAAGAGGTGTGAGCGCCGTGCCTCGGCAAAAATTGATGGTGCAAGGGCCCGCTTGTGCATATGGCCTCACCATGAAACGGCGCCGGGTCTGGGCGTCTCCCGTTAAATGACGCCCTGTATGGATGATGGAACATAGAAGATTGCGCAAAGGGCCGCTGCCTGGAGGTCGTCAGGGCGCGTCTGGAACTGGCGCTGGACGCGACAGCATGCGAACCGCCAGCCGAGCGCGAGGTGCTGCACGACCACCCAGCAGCCCCTCGCATCCATCATCCCCACCAGCTTGCTTGGTGTCGGCAGGGTCTTCGCAGGCCCAGCAATCGGCACCTGCCACTGGTGGAGTACGCCGCATGCGATGGACCATCAATATGAATTCAAACGCATTGCGGGCGTATTTTAGGGCGAAAGGGGGGAGAAATTGGAGGTTTCGCGTATCGGGCTAGGATGCATCGTCTTTTTACTGAGCTGGAGCCATCTATTACTGTCACCGAGCAAAACCTGGCAGACCGAGTTCGGTATATCTTACGCTCAAATATATTTGATGGCGCCGAACTCGAACGGCTACGACGTGAGGCTGTTCCCTCATCAAATGAAAACGCTACGACTGAGAGTGCGGTGCCACAAGTTGCAGAAGAACCCGCACACGTGGATGCCGCCGAGAATACCCCAGTGGTTGCTGATTCAAATGATGATGGAACATTCACCCAGGAACTAGAAATAGAGCAAATGAGGAGTACATTGGAAGAGGCGATTATGGAAACGCGCAGTACGCCTCTCGAAAATCGACCGCGACTTCCCCCGCATAGCCCTAAGCAAGCGGAATCGGGCTGTCGTGAGGGCTCTGAACCCAATGCTGGTGACCTATTTGGAAGCCAGCCGGGACCTTTGCGAGACGGACTCAATTCTCTTTGGCGCCGCACTGGCAGTCTGCCGTATTATAGGCGCCAAACTTTCCACGGCTGGACGCACTACTGGACAAAGTAG